GGTTTTAAAATTGTAACTTGAATTGTTATACTATGATTTCATGTTATCATTACTACATTTATAGTGAGAACTTTTGGAAGCATCTTTCTACTTTACACAGTGCCATTGCATAGCCCACATCAGCAGCTTGCCCATTATGCCACCCGGTGGAAGGCCCCTCCATTCAGTCTGCCCTGGGAGGAAAACACCCGGTACAGCCTCCGGTCTGCAGCTCCTCCAGTGCAGAGCTGCAGACTGAGGTGTCTCACGATCTCCAGCAAATGAGAGCATTGCCGCAGGTTACCACAGAACGCTCTGATACTTCTGGAGATCACAAGATACGTACTACGTGGTCTGCAGCTCTGCACCCGACAGAGCTGCAAACCAGATAGGAATCCACAGGACCACCAGGGGAATGAATCCGGGATAAAAAGTATGTTTGACTACCCACCGTCCTTATACACACAATGCAACCCCTATTTATTTTCACTTTGGTTGTTAGTTGAGGGGCTCATGTTTGAGTTTCGCCTAAGGCCTCACAAAGTCTAGAGCCGGAGCTGGTGGAGGTCCCATCTCACAACTTGCAGGGCTTAAATTGCTTGATGCCAGATACTACAGGACACGTTTAGTGGTCTTGTGGTGTCCATGCCTTGATGCATCAGGGCTGTTTGGGCAGCATGAGGGGAACCTACACGATATTAGGCAGGTGGTTTTAATCTTGTGACTGATCAGTGTAATAGTTTGGGATATTTGGAATCGTGTTAAAAAGTATAATGCATTCGGTAGACCAATTTTCCATCTCTTTGGATACTTCCTCAACAGTTCATAGTGGAGGCAGGTTCTGATAAGGCATGAAATGTGTGTCCCGTTAGTGTTTTTTTCAGACATTTATGTTTTCCTTCCTTTATGATTCCAGTGTAAGATATTTTTTTGTGCTTTAAACTTTCTGCTAAATGTATTATGATTTTTAATATAATACAGAAATTGAAAGTCAACTTGTATTATAATTCTATAAGCATACTTGTTGTGAGCTGGACTACCAAGTTATACATATAGTTCTAATTGGATAAACTTGAAGAGCGACTAACCACACACCGCCATAAAAGACTGTTGTGAAACTGTAAGTTGTCCCCATTTAGGAGTTTGCATTTAAAATCATTGGCCACGAACTGAGGCAGTGGCAAATCTTTATACATTGTATCTTGCTATTCTGCTGGCATCTCAGAGGGAATACTGGCTCAGTTTATTAATCATCTAGTCTAGTTTGAAAAAAGTAAATCAAAGAGTAACGGCAAGTCTGGTTTCTTTTCGGTACAAATAACTTGAAATGCTAAATTTTAATTAATGCAATTCACTGTGTACAACCATAGGGAAATACTCTGCATAGAGGATTCTTCATTAGAATTAGAATGCTTTTAAGTGTGACCATAATCAACACATATTTTACTTCAAATGAATTAAAAGACAGATGCATACAGCTCAGAATAATGTAACGGTCTAAACATGTGCTTCAATTTTAATTTTGTCTGGGGTAAAATTGCCTCAGACATATTAATACACTGTTCTTTAAAATTCGTCTCATGAAGGAAACTGGTTTCCTTTATCCTGTTCTAAGTTCTGTGGCTTTAGGCAATGATGACTAACTCTGAACCTGCAGATGTTCTGAACATCAATTCCCATGATGCTTAGCTAGCCCAAAGGCATGGTTCATAAACATCTGTAGTGCCAATGTTAGTCATTGATACCTCAGGGAGAATAATGAAATATATGTGTTAAACCCAGAGCTCTTCCAAGCTGTCTCCGGAGATTATAAAGCTCTTTGTAAGGACAAATGAAATTCCCCATTCAAATAAAATTTCCCATTTTTCTCTCTCTGTTTTTGTGGATTTGTTTTAACTTTAAAGCGTCATGGGTACATTCACTAACAAAAGAGCATATAAATCATTAAAGGGACACTGTAGGCACCCAGACCACTTCAGCTAATTGAAGTGGTCTGGATGCTGTGACCCTTTTGCACTTAGTGCTGCAATGTTAAACATTGCAGTTCCAGAGAATGTTTATATCGCAGCTCTAAGTATGTCCTCAGTGGCTGTCTACCAGACAGCCACTGGGGGCACTTCCAGAATCCAAACGGACTTTTGGTCTATTATCTGACGCTGGACATCCTCACGGACCTCCAGCGGCAGATTTTCCCCATAGGAAAGCATTGAATAATTGAATAATCATGCGCATTAGGACGCCCCCGCTAGCTGACGTCGGCGGGGGAGGAGTGTGGGCGGAGCCTGACCCAGCACCGAGGGATATCGGCGCTGGATTTAGGTAAGTGGCTGAAGGGGTTTTAACCCTTAGCCCTGCTGGAGGGAGGGTGGGCGTGAGGGAGGGGGGACCAATTAACCCTATAGTGCCAGGAAAATGGCGTGGTTTTCCTGGCACTATAGAATCCCTTTAATACAGAGTACTAGTAGATATACAAGCTAATTTATAGATTTTCAGGACAAAAACTGTGAATAAAACAGCCACTAGAGACACTTCCTGTTGCAGTCCTGCAATATTTACAGGTCTTAAGTTCAGTGGTTTCATGACCTGCATGGAGAATGTTCCCCTCAGAGATGCACTGACTTTAAAATACATTACAAGGGAAGCCATGAAAGGGGTTCCCAACCCTGTACTCAAGGTGCCTACCTTCATACTTTGCCAACTCTGCCTTCATATTTATTTTTTATACTTTAAGTAGGATATTTATTCTGGCTATCAGGTCATTCCGATTTAAAAAATTATAATTTTCATTACCCTTTAAAGCATTAGGATTTTTGTCATATTCCTTTGCTGAATCTTAACATTTGAATTTGTTATAAGGACACCTTTTCTCGGTGGGTCTATAATACATGTGTGGTCTAGCAAACCACCTACATAAATAATAAACTGTAAGAGATAAAATAGTGTAATATAAAATATTAAGGAAGATAGAGAAATTTAAAAATGTTTCTTTGGGGGGGGGGAGGGTAAAATTCACTTTGTAGATGGCTTTAACAAAGCCGGAGAGTTTGATGACATTTTGAATAAAATATTGGTTTATGTCTCAATTGTTTTGTACATACCATGTATCTTCCCATCAAATATACATTAAGTAGAATACATATTACTAAAATGATAGCTAGTAAATAACCAGGGGTTTATATTTATTTTTAAAGTTTAGGTATAGTTAATAAGTCATTAGGAAATGATGCACATATTGTAAGTACAGTCATTAAAATGACACTTTATTGTCTAAACACAGTAAAGGAGTTTAAGCATGCGTGGGATAGGCATAAGGCTATCCTAACTATAAGATAAGGCCAGGGACTAATGAAAGTATTTAGAAAATTGGGAAGACTAGATGGGCCGAATGGTTCTTATCTGCCGTCACATTCTATGTTTCTATATAGAGTCGATTAACACAATAAGTATATATATATTTTTTATTTTTAAATCACTGGATAAGATAATATAATAATTACACCCTGTTCCAAATTATTATGCAAATTCTATTTAAGTGTCACAAAGATTAAATATTTTGTTTTTCAGTTTAACTCATGGATGGCATTGTGTCTCAGGGCTCCTTTTTTTTTTTGAATTTGACAATTTTTATTTTTGTGTAACAGCAATTGGGGTACAGAAGACAAGTAAGGGAAGGGTGTCATAAAAACATTTCACATGTCCTTGTTCACAGATTCCGCCTTCGGCGGTTTTTTCATTTCACACAAAGCGGTATGTAATAACACATTTACATTTTCATGTATTTTCCCCATCTGTGTATGGGTGAGAGATTGTTTAATTTTGTTTTTGTGGGCTATCGAGTATTGTCACCCTATAGGGATTTGGGGGAGAAGGGCAGATAATTTGGAGGTGGGGAGAGTAGGGAGGAGATGGGGGGGGAAGTCCAGTTGTCCGCACCTCTCGAACCTAAGTCAGGGTTTCAGGGGGGGAAGGGGCATATTTTGCCCGTTTGATACTCATTTGGGATTTTCCCTTTCCACTTTCTGCTAGCTCCTTTGTCATGACTAGGTATAATATGTATGGATGGGGTGAGCTGCATCTTTCTAGTGCTTATATGTGTCTGTCGTTATTGCTTTGACCAACATAATATTACAGTGTTCATAGCTCTTGTTTAACTATATTCTACACATTTCTCTTACGTTAGGGACACAGCTGTCGGTTCGCAGACATCCGCCTGCACGGTTTCTAAGTGGGTGTTTTGGAGTTCTGTAGGTGGCTACTCCAGTTGTCCCATGCCTCTGTCCAATTTGTTTTCGGTGAGTTTATGCGTCTGGCCGCCAATTCATATTGTTTGGTGGTTTCTATTGTTTGTATGCACTGCTGGAGCTTTGGTGGAGAGGCCGATCACCAGTGTCTGCTAATCACTGTTAGCGCTGCCATAATGATGTGGTATATTAAGTATTTTTGTGGTTTCTTTAGGTTTTTGGGGAATAGCTGGAGGAGGAAAATTTCTGGTTTGCATTCTAGTCTTATTTGTGTGCTTAGGTAAACAAGTTTTATTATGTCGTCCCAGAAGGTGGTGAGATCAGGACACGTCCACCAGATGTGGAGCATTGTTCCCTTGTTTGTTGGCATCTCCAGCATGTGTCTGCGGCCTGTGGGTGTGCTGCTTTAATCCGCGTGGGGACCAAATACCACCTGTATAAGATTTTACGGGAGAGCTCCATATGGGAGGTACATTTTGAGAGAGGGCTATGTGCTTGCAGTATGTCTTTCCATTGTTGCGGACTTAGGGTGTATGTGAACTCTTTCTCCCAGGCAATGATGAATGGGAATGGTGCGTGGGTTTTAGAGGTCTGTAACGTTTGGTAAATTGTAGAGAGTAGTTTTTTAGGGGGAGAAAGGCATGCACAGATTTTTTCTACCACCGTCAGCTGTTGTCCCTGTACATCATCTTTGTGGGTAGTGGTTTGTTTTTTAAGCCATACTCTCACTGGGCATCAGGGGAACTCACCAAAGCACACCTAACTGAAGCCCTAGAAGCAATGTCAGACAAATTAGTGAAAACCTGGCAGACATCTATTGAACAACTCAGGAAAGAGGTGCTGGATATCGGCAACAGAACAGCACACATTAAAAACAAACTAAGTGAATATGCCACAGCACACAATGACATAGCCGACCATGTAGCAGCCTTGGAACAAAAGGTGACACTAATAGAGGCACGCATGGCGGATGCAGAGGACAGATCACGGATAAATAACCTCCGATTAAGAGGGGTTCCGGAAACGGTCCTCCCCGGCGACCTACAGGCGTATGTCAGAGGCCTGATGAGACCATACATACCTGAAATACCAGCAGACATGATGCTAGTAGATAGAGTTCATAGAGTTCCAAAACTGAGGAACCTAACTGATACAACCCCAAGAGACGTCTTAATGAGAGCGCATTACTTCCACATCAAAGAGGCAGTGCTCCGCGCCAGCAGAAACCGAGCAACACCACACGAAGTCTACCCATCAGTGAAAATCATGGCAGATCTATCGGCAGCTACCCTCAAGCGGAGAAAAGAATTCCAAGAGACCCGAAGGAGCTGAGAAATAAAGGAATCCGGTACCGATGGAGATCCAACAAATCCACATAACCAACAACACCGACCACACTTCGGATATGTGAGATATGGAGTTATATGTTTATGTGCTAATGTTACGTATGTTTCTTCAGTAACCTGTTTTTATGTTTATATGTGGGATAACTAAGTACGGTTTTGCAAAGGCCTATGGAAAGGCAAAGGCAGGGGAGGCAGCGCTGACAGGGCAGGGTATGTTTACACGCCAACAGGGGACGGACTCGAAAAAACGACACGTAGTCAGAATCAGTGGGAGGCTCATAGCCCCTTATGTAACAGTCCCCATAGTATGTTAGCTACCCTAACAGGTCACGGTCATGTTGGGGGTCTTAATTCTGTTCATCTGATCCCATTCAACTACCAGCTAGATAACTTCTTTTATGTAGAAACACACCCTTAAGGACTAGCGTTATGACAAACAGCAGACCAAGGGAGGAAAACATAAGACCCTCACAGGCCTGATGATTGGGGTTAACATATTCCACCCCTAAAATCGACAAAAGATGCGACACCCTGCCGGGGCTGCCACCCCAGCGCATAAAAGCACCACAAAGTTAAAGTTCTGAACCCCGAATGCAATAAGCATGAGAGCCCGACAGCCACAAAACCAGAGGCGTCGCTCGACGTTTACCCCCCATGGCACAATACCATAGTGCCAAGACCCCGCTTTGGGGCATCTTGTACATAAGTGGGTTCCTTACTCCCCCCCCCCCTTCCCTCTAAGTCCGGAAAGTCACACCTCCCTGCCCACCGCCATGCACAAACAAGGCCACCAGGGCCATCATGCCAAAAAAACATAGACACGCAGAATTCACATACGAGCTCTCTCTACCACAAACCCATAATATGAAAATATACTCACATAACGCTAGAGGACTAAACACCCCACACAAAAGTCGCTTGGTCCTAGCAGAAGCCAAACAAATTAAAGCAGACATCATGTGCCTACAAGAGACACACTTCGTAACTGCTAGAGTACCGAATTTTGGCATACGAGATTACCCCCACCAATACCACGCAACACACTCCTCGAAATCGAGAGGACTCTCCATCCTCCTCCACTCCTCTCTCAAAGTGGAGTTTCTCCACGTTAAAAAAGACAACTAGGGAAGATACGTGATGCTTCAATGTTTAATAAATGACTCAAATTTTACCATAGTTAGCTTCTATAGTCCAAACACAAACCAAAGAAACTTTCTCCACAGAGTATTATCCACAACTCCCACCATACACACAACATCAGTTGTACTCTGTGGGGACCTAAATCACCCGCTGGACCCATTTTTGGATACCACATTAAACCCCACAGCACCTAGACACAGAGTGATAAAATCACAATGTAAAGCTTTAAACAAATAACACCTTTACCCCAAAAATGACAAACACACTCAGCGACTACTTTACGACAAACAGCACACCAGACATACAACCAACCCCAGTGTGGCAGGCCCACAAAGCGGTCATGCGAGGCCACATGATTAGCCAGGCATCATGTCTAAACAAAAAATCTAAAGAAGAACACCGAACATTATTACGCACACTGAGGGACACAACCAAAGCGAACACCGTACAACCCACCCCGCAGAGAATGCAAACAATCACAGACACTACGGCACGCCTAAATAATCTAGAGCTAGCTAAGACCGCACACATCCTACAAAAACTCAAACAAACAACGTACATGCAAGGGAACAAAGCAGGGAAATATTTAGCAACACAACTCAGGCAAAAACAATCTAACGCCAAGATCCCATACTTACTCACACAAGGAGGTGAAAAAATACACAACCCGCAGGACATAAACGACAACATGGACAACATGGCAACATACTAACACACATTATACAGGCTAAAGAACGATACAACACTACATCAACCCACCAACCTAGAAATTGAGGGTTTCCTCTCTCTTTCCAAATTACCAACAATGATAGACATACAGCGATCACAACTACAAAACCCAATTACAGTGAATAAGATCCTGCTCACTATAAATTCTCTACCACCATTTTTTTGGCTTTTTGGGTAGATTTCTTGCTTTTGGGGTGAGACATGGTGCAGATTGCTGTTTTTGTGGTGTTCTAATAGTGGATGGCTATGGATATTGAGAGCAAAAACTACTAAAGGAGGGTGGTCTCTGCTGCCGAAAAGAGTGAAATAGTTCAATGCATTAGACGAGGTATGAAAACATTAGATATTTCACGAAAACTTAAGTGTGATCATCGCAATATTAAGAGATTTTTGGATGATTCAGAGCACAGATGGTTTCATGCAGATAAAGGCACATTGAGGAAGATTTCTGCCAGATCCATGCATCGGATCAAGAGAGCAGCTGCTAAAATACCATTACATAGCAGCAAGCAGATATTTGAAGCTGCTGGTGCCTCTGGAGTCCCACGGACATCAAGGTGTAGAGTCCTCCAGAGTCTTGCAACTGTGCATAAACCTTTTATTCGGCCACCACTAACCAATGCTCATAAGCAGAAACAGCGGCATTGGGCAGAAAAATACATGAAGACTAATTTTCAAACAGTCCTGTTCACTGATAAGTGCCACGCAACCCTGGATGGTCCAGATGGATGGAGTAGTGGATGGTTGGTGGACGGCCACCCTGTTCCAACAAGGCTGCGACGTCAGCAAGGTGGTGGTGGAGTCATGTTTTGGGATCATGGGAAGAGAGCTGGTCGGCCCCTTTAGGGTCCCTGAAGGTGTAAAGTATGTGGAGTTTCTGACTGACCACTTTCTTCCCTGGTACAGAAGGAAGAACTATGCTTTCCGTAATAAAATCATCTTCATGAATGACAATGCACCATCTCATGCTGCAAAGAATACCGCTGCATCAATGACTGCTTGGGGATAAAAGGAGAAAAAGTCATGGTGTGGCCTCCATTCTCCCCTGACCTCAATCCTATTGAGAACCTTTGGAGCATCCTCAAGCAAAAGATCTATGAGGGTGGGAGGCAGTTTACATCCAAACAGCAGCTCTGGGAGGCTATTTTGACATCTTGCAAACAAATTCAAGCAGAAACTGTCCAAAAACTCACAAGTTCAATGGATGCAAGACTTGTGAAGCTGCTATCAAGTAAGGGGTCCTATGTTAAAATGTAACGTGACCTGTTAAAATGTTTAAAAAGTTAAAATGTTGTTATAAGTTTGATTGAAATAGCTTTTGATTTCAGTAAATATGCTGCAAACACAGCAAATGACAATTTTCAGTTCTTTACAACCTATAAAGTGTTTTGAAACTTACTGTGCGTAATAATTTGGAACAGTGCATTGTAAGTTTTTTATGTTTAAAAAAATACTGTTATCATTAGGAGATTTGTTCATTAAAATTTGAATTGTACTCTTAAAGGACCACTATAGGCACCCAGACCACTTCAGCTTAATGAAGTGGCCTGGGTGCCAGGTCCCTCTAGGGTTAACCCTGACTGCTGTAAACATAGCAGTTTCGGAGAAACTGCTATGTTTACATTAGGGTTAATCCAGCCTCTAGTGGCTGTTTCATTGACAGCCGCTAGAGGCGCTTCCGCGCTTCTCACTGTGATTTTTACAGTGAAAAGACACCAGCGTCCATAGGAAAGCATTGAGAATGCTTTCTTGTGGACTGGCTGAATGCGCGCGCGGCTCCTGCCGCGCATGCGCATTCAGCCAATGATGGGGAAAGGAGGCGGAGAGTCCCCACCTCTGAGGGAGCCCGGCGTTGGAGAAAAGGTGTGTGTTTAACCCCTTCCTCACCCTAGAGCCCGGCGGGAGGGGGACCCTAAGCGTGGGGGGGACCTAGAGACCATATAGTGCCAGGAAAACGAGTATGTTTTCCTGGCACTATAGTGGTCCTTTAATAGTTAATAACATGAGAATTATGCTGACTGTTATTTACATCAATTATTTAGGTAAATGAGAAAAATATAATTTGCATAATAATTTAGAACAGGGTGTATACATGTAGTTAGGTTAGGTGGAATAACCGTTTGAGATATATATTATTATATATTATGTTTGTGTAAGGAGATTATTGTGCTCCATCTTCTGTTAATATAATTTTTCTTCTTTTTTTTAATAATAATCTTTACTATGTTTTCTTTTAAACATATAACAAGATTTAAAAAAATGATAAATCTACTAGAGATGATCCATATAAAAAAAAAAAATTGAGAAAAATAAAAAAATCATAAATACAAAAAACAGATAATAAAAACGTACACAGTACAGTACATAAGTGAGTGTCAAATATCTAGGTGAGTGGAGTGTCGATTAAAGTACCTTAATTTGTCTTGAGTCTATTGATCAACACACAAGGGTCCTGATAGAGTTATTATTATTATTTTTACTGGCATTTCTAAAGAGCCAACATGTTCCACAGTGCTGTACAATTGGGAAAGACAACATAATAAGAACAGACCGATACAACAGGTAGCGTGCCCTGCCCGTGAGCTTACAATCTAAAGGTTAAACTGGGGAGATGAGACAAGAGGTACCAGAGGAATTTGTATGCGATGGCAGAGAGAGTTAATGGTATAACTGCAGCTGATAACATGTGAAGGGAATGTTTTTCTCCGGTTTGACCGTAGTGGGTTATTCTCTTCTGTTATAACCTGAGAGTTACTTATTACTAGCTCCATACCGAGTTGATATAGTAATTGGGAAATAACTGTCCATGGTGGAATTTTTTAAATTTTCCAATGTCTGGCAAACAGTATTCTAAAGGCCACAAAGCAATGGGTAACAAAACAATGTTTCTGCTTTTTTTGAAGGAGGCCATTTTAGATGTGTAGCAGAACGCTGGTCTCGCACAGACTATTTCCGCTGGTAGTCCAGGTGTGGCTCAGGAACAAGTAGTAACCCCAGGAGAAACATCCACAGTAATAGAATAATCCAACAGAGTAGCAAGTACAATCAGCAATACAATCCAATAATATCCCATCACCTTTCCCAATAACTGGACGACACACAGTATCAGGAGCAGAACTGAACTTTTAATTACACAACCCCTGCTTTTATGCAATGCTCCCGGGCAAGGGAGCCACCCACAATAATTAGTACATTAACCAATAAAGTACAAGGTACAACCCACACATCTCATCCCATCAGCTTATCTGTTAACAGTATTAAAATGTACATATTTTTCCCCATGTTCTAGATGTACCCCAAATACATAGTGTAGCGGAACGCCAATATTAAATCCACGAATTTCGCTGGTTCAGGAAGTAATCCACAGTCAAGCGCTGGAAAAAGCAAGGCAATATCCCAAACCTCCCAGTAACCGGACGAAACACAGTTCTGAGAGTCAACTGAGGTCTTTATTTTCAGCTCCACAATTTATACAAGTCCCCATGCAAGGGGTTTCCTGAGTCCCCTCCCAGGGGCATTCCCAGAGGGGACTACATGGGGGACTTACAATACAGGGCATTTCTCCCATCAGGCACTGCTGCACGAGAGGGATCCTCCCACAGGAATGTACCGTTAAGTGGATTATCCCTCCATGCAGCAGAACCGACAATTTATATTAAAATGCATAACTGTGGTAATATACGGTCTATTTGCACGCATGGACGTTCGGTAGATAGCTGGGGTCTGAGCGCATCATTCGTGAGATTACCGCTCAGATCCCAGCTAAAACAACCGAACGCCGCACGAAAAACACATTTATTAAAATACATGTTTAAATGACCGATTGCCTTCCAGGGAACAAAGTACCGAACGGCCTGGAGGCTCAGCGGTGTTCGTTCCGTCGAGTAGCCGTTTTTAGTACCATGCGCTCGACGACCTAACACCGCTGAGGGAACAAAGGATCCGAGATGGCCGACCGCCGCATGGTCGGTAGTCGGACGGCGGCCACCTAGGAGAGCCTCTAATTACTGATTGCAACATTGTTGCAATCGGTTAACAAGCGCCACACGCCTCTACGTGTGTGGGCCACTACATGGGGGTGTTTTCGGTTCACGAACGGCCCGCAAAAGTGCCGTTCGTGAAACGAAAGAAAAATCCAATACAAACAGCTATCTGCATTCGGCAGATAGCCAATACAACAAATACATGTAAATTACAACCCGCATACATTCAACATAGTTAAGCCCATATCCCACAACCATATAGGCACCGTCTCTTTATAGTGTCCAAGTGGCTATGTTTGCCACACATAGGATACACCCCTAAATATGATATCCCCTGATAGACCTGATCTGGGTGAATAACATATTAAAAATTCACCAAGATCGGATCAGGGATTCGGGAGTAATGGGCAAGTAAAGTTTTGACCGACAGCACAGGCAACAGTATCCGAAAATAGTTCCATAAGTTTTGACCTTGCGGTCGGTTTCCGTTCGCGGAATAAAAGTCACAAAATGTTTGCCATCCATGGCTATACTGGTGTTCGTGTGAATACCCGTGTTTACATTAGTCTTTCTACATTAGTCGTTCGGTAGTTTCGGCACGAATTTATGGAAGTCTGGAGGTCTCAGCGGTGTTTGCCTAGTCGAGTGTCCGATTTTAGTTCCAGACACTCGACGGCAAAACACCGCTGTTTGGGAGATTAAGATGGCCTCCACCACGTTAATCTCCCGAAATGGCGGCCACCCAGGAACTTAACAGAGCGTTCGTGAGTCTCCACTTAAGAGGTAATAAAACGAATTGGGAGGTTGATTGAAGCCACACTTTGTATCAGGGTGGTCTGGTGTTTGGTAGATTTAGTTCGTATGACGAATGCAGTGGGTCAATATAGTTTTATGGGGACAATCAAACGAATGCTTCATACACTGAAGATATATATAGCAGCAAAGTACCGAAAGCATTTTAAAACACCCAGTTTTGCAGACAGCTCAATGTCCTTTGCTT